TTACCGAAAGAGCCGAAGAGAATAAATTCCTGCAGTAACGAAAGCTTCAAATCAAGATATTTTTTTTCCTACCTACGTGACTTTACCGAAAGAACCAAAGAGTAGACATACACTCAGTTATTGAGACTTTATTTGTCCCATCAGGCAGTGTTTATCAACACGAGTGGTGCGCCACCTGGCGGACGAGACCCAATATTACCACACACAATGCTAATACAGCACCACGGGCGCGTGGAGAGAGCGAAGCCTCGATGCGATGATGAGCTCAAACCAGCTGTCGGATCATTGTTGTTGGCAATCATCACCGGCTGGGCATGCGGCCTACATGACCCAGCCAATGCAACCCTGCCTACTGGAGGAGCTCATCGATGAGACCATGTCCAGATCTTTCAAGGATTTGTGAGCTCCTCACGCAATCCAGCCTGGTTAAACCCAGGGAAGATCATAAGCAGGCTAGCCTGAATGTTTATAACCGGCGAAGATGTTCCATTAGGGGGTGGGGGGCAATTTTCGTAGGCATAGAGAAATTGGGGCATGATTGTGGCCGAGGAGACCTGAAACTTCGTGTGGAGCTTCAGACCAGGTAGCTTCCACACAGTGTTACGCAGCCGATGAAAAGATAATACCGCTCGACTGGTTCGGAGCGAGACCTCTGCTGTCAAATTTGAGCTAGTCGTAAGCACATCGCCGAGGTATGGAAACCTCTCTCCACAACTGCTCATCACCAATGGGGAGCAGAGGGCGGTGAAGTGTCTGATGACACAACATACCCAGGCAGGTGCTTAGTTTTGGTGGGGCTGATGGTAAGGCCCCTCCTCTGAGTAGCACGCTCCATGTCCTGCAGCAGTGCCTCCAAATCGTTCTCTGAGTGAGCAGCAATGTAGATTTCATTTTATTATTCTCACAAAAAATAAAAGTGAAAGGCAAAGAGTGCAAATAATAAACAAACAAGGTAACAAGGTGTGCAGGTGAGATTGGAAACCCAAGAGGGCTTACATAAAATGACACCAAAATACAGAGCAAAACAGATTGTTCAATCAATAACACAAAGCATACATAACAGGGTTGATGCAGGGGAGCAGTGACACTTTGAATGCTGGAGTTGTCCTCCTAGCGAATGGATACCAGTGGTTACACGTCATGTTACAGATGCACAGTGACCCAGAATTTGTCAGTGCTGCCATCGGCAATGCTGTGCCGATAAATCCGACTTACCAACTTCACGTGTTTAGCTTGGTTATTTGTGAAAGTATTGCAATCTCAGCTCGTTACGATAACGAAATTTTATTATTTATTTCCAAATCTTACCGTTAAATTTCCATGTTTGACAGTATTTTAGAGTCCCAATCATATATAATGTACTACGAATTTATAATGATATATCGTATATACAAGTATACTGCCAGAAAACTACTCTTAACCACGCCGAAAAATGGGGCATGAACTTTGCGTATCAGAGTCGCAGGCTATCCACGTTTCTTGTTACTCCGCGTCTTCGTTAGAAAAATGTGGATGAAGAATGAAATTGCCACTCAACTGCAACTTGTCCACAAAAAATAAATCTCAACTAGGAGTAGAGTACTGACGTACGTTCTGGCACAGAATGTCAGGAAAAGAAAACACAATTCGGGTAAATGTTCTGCCACAACTCCTCGTATTCGTGAGCAAAATCTGGAAATTATTGAGACCACTCGATTTTGATGGAAAACTCGATTGAATCTCAACAGGCTTCACACGCGTTTTGAACAATGCGAGAGAGCGTGTCTTTATTGATCAACATTCCAGTAAAGTCCATACATTTCTGTGTAAAATATCCACGATCTATAGAGAAACATATATACTATAAATATGGCAAAAAAATGAAAAAAATTGAACACTTTCCATGCCCGTAGCGCATGGTTTATATCAGCCCCATGTCTTGAGTCCAGAATGGTGGCATCCACACGCCTCCAAGGGCATCTCGAGACAATGACGACATATAACTAGTTCAAGAGTCGTCAACACGAGACAGACCTAACTCACGCTCGGTGCAGAATATTCGGCCGCACGTCATGTCCACGATATGTTGCGTATATACGATATTTATCCATCATGATTGGGCCAGCTGATTCAAGTGCAAAAAGAAACGTATACATTCAAATGCTCGTGCAATATTCAGTCCTAGTCTTCAAACGCGTGCCAACTCGGTCTAAGCGTGGTCGCATGCCCGGTTTGGGACCGAGGATCTCAGCAATGCTGTCTCGGTGGCTCTGAAATGGACATCATGAACGCCTGGGCAAGCCCTACCGTATCGACTGCCTTGTAATCCGAATAAGCCGTATTCCTCTATCCCGTGTATCACAATGTCACTTTAAACTGCGCAACCTGCAATGCCATCATATACAGTATATCTTCATAATAATGTGTTTTTTTTTAACAAAGGAAATGTAACAACTGTGTTTATTTCTTCTTGGTTCTTTCGGTAAAGTCACGTAGAAGGGAAGTAATAAAATTATAAAAATAAAACATAATAAAATAATTCTCACGACGTTTCGGCTACAACGCAAGCAGCCGTCTTCAGGTGAAGAATGAGACACTGCCAAGCTTGGAGCTTATATATAAGCTGGGTTGGAGGTGGAAGAAGAGCGCCTTAACAAAATAATGTGCATATCAAGAGGAATTTAGCATATTCATGGGAAATGCGTAGGAGGTGGGCGGGGGGGTTTCAAAGTCATATTATGCGCATGCATTATGCAGGATTAGCAGCATCAAACGTCGTGAGAATTATTTTATTATGTTTTATTTTAATATTTCATTTCTTCCCTTCTACGTGACTTTACCGAAAGAACCAAGAAGATGAATCCCTGCAGTCACGAAAGCTTTAAATCGAAATTTAACTGTGTTTTTATATATAATATTGGTTCGAAGGCACTTAATTTGTACTCATCAGCTGTAACAAAGCCACTGTAAATAGAATGTGTATAAGATGAATGTTTGTACACTGTGTTTAATTACAACCGAGTGTGTATACTAATGTCAACAATCCACTGCTGAATGAAGATATTTCCAAGCCAAGACGGCCATGGGAGTTATTTGACCATACTTCACCACCAGTGGCGGCTCCTGCAAAATCTCTCAGGGGGGGCAAATGTCTGGATGATTGATAAGGATAAGGTCCACCCATGCAATGGATAAATTAACAGCTTAAGCATGTAAAGGCAACTTCACTTCTTTAATATTAATGAAAAATAAAGTGACTCTTACAATACATCTTGTTTGTTTCTCTACTCACTATTATTACAATCCACTCAGTTTATTTTATTAAAGATTCCACTAGGTGGCGACAAATAATATTGTTGACTGAAACGTGCTTACGTATGATGACGTAAGCACGTTAGTGCGAGCCCTCCCGGAAGCCATAGAGAATGCATTGCAGCGCCCGCCGTTCGAAAAAAATCATCTTTGAATGTGAGTCTATGGGAACACTCTGGGCGATTCTCAGCCAGAGTGAAATCGCCCAAAAAGAGGCGGTACTCCACAGAACGTGACATGACGCTGATTGGACTATATCCAGAGGCACAGTAACGGCTAGCGTAACTCTGTGGTTGAGATTGGTGGTGCGTCGCCCAATCGCCCTAATGAAGAAACCGCCCCTGTTCACCACCTTTGACAAATTCGGATTGGTGAAGGTTGGGGGGAAGGGAGGGGGCAGTTAACATACAAGTCACTTGCTACTGATGTTAGCCGCGGCCAGGAATCAAACTCTGTGCTACTTTTCCCCGTTATAAACAATCGGGAATAATATAATCATCCCACATGGTTCTAGATTTGAAGCTTTCGTGACTGCAAGGATTCATACTCTTAGGTTTTTTCGGTAAAGTCACGTAGGTAATAAATAAATAAACAACAAAAATAAATAATACAAATAATAGTAGAAATAGAAATAAAAAATAAAGACTTTACTTGATACAGCTATCGTGCTGTGACGGTTCCACCTGAAGATGGAAGCTTGTGTTGCCTCCGAAACGTCGTGATTTTTTAAAAATATTTATTTATTTTTTACCTACGTGACTTCACCGAAAAAACCTAAGAGTATGAATCCCACATGGTGTTGGGAGGCCTTCAACCAGCAGGGGATTAGAATTAACAATCGTCATCATTGTATAATATTCTAATAATAATCGTCAATTGCCACGCAGTATTTGCTCACTCTCGAGAAAAAGAACGACACAGGTGCGAGGAACTCGAGGCAAGCGGGAAGTCGGCAGCTGCCAGGCGGTGAGCCAATGCCAACAACGAGCCAATGCCAACAATGAGCAGTTATACATCTGGGAGGAAACTGGAGCACCCGGAGATAACCCACGTGGCGTGAGGAAGCAACACTCTACCCTGTAGAGATGTGACCATATGGAGATTAGTGCACACGTGCTGCCCTGCATTCTCCTGGAAAGCCAGGGTATGGCACCTCGATGCCAACGGAAGTTTCACAACATTTGTGCGGTGATCCCCCCAACCCTCGCCTTCACCGCCGTGCTGGAGGCAGCCCACCCCGAAACGAGGGTCTCTGTGTCAGTTGAGACAAGGGTTCTGTGTCAAACGAGGCCACGTGGTTGACAACAGCCGTTATGACGTTCTCAAGCCACAGAAAGCAATGCCGAATCAACGCATGTCTTGTGTGACGTTAACCAATCACGAATCGGGGCATGACTTCAACTCGCATTTATTGGTCAAATAGGAATGCATTACGTTGTTATATACTGCGCGGATTTATAATTATTTGCATTGATAATGCCGGCCTTGTTGTGGCACGTAACAATCAGATTGTGCAGTTTGAATCTGTTGAATCGAGGCGTTACGTCATCAAGCGCTGTGTGTCCGTGCACATGTTGAAACGAGTGTGTGTGTGCAACGTATTCTTAGGTTTTATCGGTAAAGTCACGTAGGTAAAAAATTAAAATTAATAAAAGTAAAATAAAAATATTTTTTTATTTTACTTTAATATTTTATTTTACTTCAATAAAAGTAAAATAAAATATTTTAAAATATTTTATTTTATTTTACTTTTATTAATTTAATTTTTTTACCTACGTGACTTTACCGAAAAAAAACCTAAGAATATGAATCCTTGCAGTCACGAAAGCTTCAAATCTAGAATGTGTGCAACGTGGCGTGGGTGTCTTGTGTGTGCGAGTGTGCAATATGGAAGTGATCATTTAACTGGGCGTATGTGGAAGGAAGTAGCAGCGTGCGTGCAGATGCGAGCAAATGAAAGTGTGTCATGCGTGCACAGAGCGTATGTGACTGCACGTGGATTTGTCTGTGGTATTCAGCAGCATTATTTCCTACACTGTAATTTAAATTGGTGTTAGAAAATGATTAACAATTTTGTCTTTTGTGTTATTCTGCCAAATTCAACACCAGTTTAGATTCTACAGTAGGAAATGATGCTTTGACTCAAAATGAACTGCTCTACTATTCACCCCACTAAGTTTATGAACCATGTAACTATTGTTTACCGAGAGTGGCCAGGCGGTGGTGGCTATGTACGCGAGGCAGCATCGAGGGTTGGGGTTGCACGGATGTTGTGAATCACCCCTTTTCCGTAGGCGTCGAGGTGGCATAACCCTGGCTTGCCAGGAGAGGGCTGTACAGCCAACGTGGGCATATCATCTGAGACTATCTGAATGAGAAAGAGTTTTGTCCCCTCGCACGCTTGAGTTCTCTGGCTTTTCCTCCAACATGGTTAACACTGATCGCTAACTGGATGGACACATCTCAACCGATGCGCCTCCGGGTTTGAGAATAGCGCAGCATTCTGTGAGATGCAATTGCATAAATGACTGCCGCTGCTATATAACAACGCAATGATATGACAACTCAATGGTAAAGCCAGCACTTCGGAAAAGGCACTTTTTTGGCTGCCTGAAAATGAACGAGTGTAAAATGAGCATATTTATATAAAAACAAAAAGCTAAAAAATTCTCAATCAAAAAACATTTCCTTCAGTACCGCAAGTATTGCAAACGACATGTAATATATAACGGACCGCCCTCTATACAAACAAACGCATGGGAATAACAGTCCCCGATTATCCAGCACAACTCTTCACCACTATAAAGAAAGTGCTGTTAGCAAGTGCTTACGATTTGAGCCGACGTGGTACACGTGCCGTGTACAAGCACTCGGTGTGCATTGTAACTGCGTGTCCGTGCATGTACATAATACATACACGCAGACATGGCGCTTGGTATATAATGCGCATCGCCACGCGACTACTGCATCTGGGTTGCGAGGCGATATTGCGAACCGCTGGACGTTGTTTGCGCTTGTGTTATATCTTGAATCCATAATCATGGATGTCACAAATTCACTTGAATGCAATTAGATGAAATGTCACAATCATGGTCGCAATTGGGTTTGATTATTAACACAATTTTTTTTACGGTTAATGTAGCGACCTATAGCGGCTCCAGGGGTCACGTGACCCCGTTGCATATGACATGTGTGTGAAAATCGTTGATTCCTACACGGGCGATCAACGTGCTACATGAGCTTAAGTACCACTGTTCACGAATCGATAAAATGTTCAGCGCTACTAATAATCCGACGAGTCACTCAATGCCCGAGAAACGTCACCCGCATGCAGGGGAAATCGCCCTCGCCCTGTGACCAAACACTCAATACCACAGCAGGCTCACGTGGTCTCCCATCATCCACACTTTCGTGAACGACACATTAAGCAAACTTATCTGCTGCCCAGTTGGCTGGTGAACTGTGGCTTCGAGCGGACCACTGGGAAAGCTTTACTGAGCCGAATCTCGACCCAGGTGCGAACCAGTTCTGTGTCTGCTGGCTGCAGGGCCACACCGTCCATCCCCAACGGCTCGGCGGATTCACAAGACACCTCCTCAAGGGGCCCTCCACTCTCCGGGCTGAATTGCCCATTACCCTTCAGTCCAGGAGTTCTGGGTTCCCCTGCGCACTTGTTCTTTGAGTCCATCGCCGAGCATTTTCTTCTCTGCTCCATTCCTCGTGCGCCCTCTTCCTGCAGAGCCAAATGCTTCAGAGCACAAGGTGGATCTGCGTCCACGCTGGACTCTGTGCGGTTGCTATCGAGATCCAGCGCTTGGCTATATTTGTGATAAAAAAATCCTTGTTGGATGGTTTTAGAAGGAGATCTTGGACTCACTTTGATCCCGTATCTGGGCAGTGGCCTTTGTCCACGGGATGCCATGTCTTCTGCTATCTTGACATCAATGGGAATGTCCAGTAAGATGTTTGTGGTTGTGGTTAAAAGTGCTTTATCAGTTTCGGAGAGTTCCAGATCTACTGCGGGATATCCAAAGTTCAATATTCTGGCCTCCTCAATATGTGAAGTGTCCGCATTTGCTACATTGGCCTCAACCTCATCTGCTGATGTTGGTAATTGATCTGCACACTGCTCATCTGCTGGCTTAAAGTGGTGTGCATTACGTTGTCGTGGGAACACTTTGGAGATGGTCATGGTCTCCGTTGACATGAACACATTTTGAACACTTTCACCAGCGACTGAGGTGTCTACAGTAGCTTCACTTGATGTGGACAAGTGCATGTCTGTGACAAAAGATGCGTGTTGAGGTGCTTCAGTAGGCATGTCAGAAGGTAATTCAGCAGATGCGTCTGAAGGTGCTTCAGTAGATGTATCTGAAGGTTTTCCAGCAGACGTGCCAGAAGGTGATTCAGCAGATGTGTTTGAAGGTACTTCAGATGTGTCAAAAGGTGCTTTAGCAGATGTGCCTGAAGCTTTTTGAGCAGATGTGTCTGTAGATGTTTCAGTAGATGTGTCTGTAGGAGCTTCAGTAGATGTGTCTCTAGGTGTTTCAGTAGATGTGTCTGTAGGCGTTTCAGCAGTTGTGCCTGTAGGTGTTTCAGCAGATGTGTCTGTAGATGCTTCAGCAGATGTGTCTGTAGATGTTTCAGCAGATGTTTCTGAAGATGCTGCAGGAGATTTGACTGTGTCTGTAGGTATTTCAGTAGATGTGTCTTTAGGTGTTTCAGCAGATGTGTTTGTAGAAGCCTCAGTAGATGTGTCTGTAGATGCTTCAGTAGATGTGTCTGTAGGTGTTTCAGTAGATGTGTCTGTAGGTGCTGCAGAAGATGTGTCTGTAGAAGTTTCAGCAGATGTGTCTGTAGAAGCTTCAGTAGATGTGTCTGAAGGTGCTGCAGAAGATTTGACTGTGTCTGTAGGTGTTTCAGTAGATGTGTCTGTAGATGCTTCAGTAGATGTCTCTGTAGGTGCTTCAGCAGATGTGTCTGTAGGTGCTGCAGAAGATGTGTCTGTAGATATTTCAGTAGATGTGCCTGTAGGTGTTTCAGTAGATGTGTCTGTAGATGCTTCAGTAGATGTGTCTGTAGGTGCTTCAGCAGATGTGTCTGTAGATGCTTCAGTAGATGTGTCTGTAGATGCTTCAGTAGATGTGTCTGTAGGTGCTTCAGCAGATGTGTCTGTAGGTGCTGCAGAAGATGTGTCTGTAGGTGTTTCAGTAGAAGCTTCAGTAGATGTGTCTGTAGAAGCCTCAGGAGATTTGACTGTAGGAGCTTGAGCAGATCTGTTTGTAGGAGCTTCAGTAGATGTGTCTGTAGCAGCTTCAGTAAATGTGTTTGTAGATGTTTCAGTAGATGTGTCTGTAGCAGCTTCAGTAGATGTGTCTGTAGCAGCTTCAGCAGATCTGTTTGTAGGAGCTTCAGTAGATGTGTCAGTAGATGTTTCAGTAGATGTGTCTGTAGCAGCTTCAGTAGATGTGTTTGAAGGTGCTGCAGAAGATGTTTCTCTAGGTGCCTCAGGATTTGTGTCTGTATATGCACCTGTAGATGTGCTGTTACATAACTCAGTAGGTACAGTTATGAGTGTGGACGCATCAAAAGGTAATGTGTCTATAATCACTTCAGAATAAGGTGACGGGTGTATGTCTGACTCGCAACATGCCACTGTCTCAATAGTTGTTTCAGCAGATGACATGTCTGCTCCATGAGGTGGTGACATACTTCTGCTTACTTCTTGAGATGGCAATGTGTCTACGGACATATCTGTGTTTGTTTCAGGAGAACCACGTGTGTCCTTTGTTTCTTTAGCCGACGCAGTAGCTGCAGATGCATCTCTAGATGACTCACGAGCTCTGGAAGCATTTGATAACTCTTCTGACGCAGACGAGTCTACGTTTACTATCCCAGTCTCAGGTTCATCGCAACGTGCTTCGGCGGAGATGCACGTTGTTGTTTCAGGTGTTGCCAACGCACCTGTAATCGTTTTAGGAGCCTGCGCCAGGTCTACGTCGTTTCGCGCCGTTAGAGATTCAGGCACACCACTATCTGTCTCCAAGTCACGGCTTTCATCCCCGCTGTCGTTCGTCGGTTCCTCATCGCTCGCCTCGGTACCGCTTGCGCTCATGCATCCCAGGGTGGCCGCTGGACTGCCGAGAGGTGCGGTGGAGCCTCCCTCTCGACTTCCTTGCGTGGCGGCGTCACCTTCCTCATGTGCGGTGTCACTGGATGCGGAGACGAGAGGCTCTTGTGACGAAAGTGCCGAGATTTCCGACGCGGTTGTGTCAGTGGAGGGCAGAATCTGAACCGAGGTTTTGGACCGTGGCCACGCACGTCACTTCACTGCTGCCCCTCTCAGGAGAGTCTGCTGACGTCGACGCGCGCATCACGTGATCACCTGTCCCTATCTGAACTGAGACCAACTCACAATGATCATCATCATCATCGTCACAAGCAGATGGATTCCTGGAAATGATGTTGCACCCATTTGGTTGATCAAACTCTGTTTTATTACCATCTGCATACACCCGTTGTTTTGAATCATTACTATTGGTTGTCCCTTTTATTGCAGCCTCTCCCACAATTTCCACATTGGCTACGGCTGTCTCTGTGGCGGCGCTGGCCAATAAGCTCGTGCCAGTTGCTGGTCTCTGCTCCCCGTTTACTACTGAGTTGTCCACGCAGGGCTCATCTTTGGGAACCTCCAACACCAGTGGTTCAGAGTCGCCCAAACTGAGGTCCTGCTCGGTAGGTTGAGTTGAAGTAATCGATGTTTTCATGCTCACGTCTTCACAGCAGGGGGCATCAGTGACGGCCTCGAGGGGAGGCTCTGACGGAGTTGCCTGTGTCTCGCTGGACTTCTCAGATGTCTGGCCTGGACCAGCGTCTCGGAGTGAAGAATGCAGGTTGGTGGACTCATCTTTGGGTCCATCCTTGACATTCTGTCGAGTAAAATTTGACTCTTTGACCTCTTCCAATTCTGCATCAACTTCTTTCAGGCTCTCAGTGACCGTGGACCTGTTGAACGAGAAGAATCGCCAGTGAGGAATGGATTCTCCTCTTCTTACCGCACAGGCACCTCCAGTGAGATCCATTTGCTCTTTTGTGAAGGAGAACTGGGAGACCGTAGCTGTACAATACAGTTGGAATGTATCAAGCATGTGAATGCGAGAGCGCCTCAAGACACTGTGCAACTCGGAATTGCGTGCCAATCTAGAGAGCATATTTACTGCATGGGATGATGGCTACGATTCATCAGTGCAGAGAGGGAATTAAGATGTAATCTACGGTAGAAGCATGCACGGTGAGATTTCATGAAGATCGCCATTGGGCAGAAGGGAAAGTAGAGTTGTTTTGGGTTAGATCGCGTAAACATAAATGTGTCGTTGAACTATCCACCACCCGACACAGCCAATTAATAAGGTTTGTCATGTAATAAGCTGTGTACTAATTGGCTGTGTCGGGTGGTGGCGGGTTTAATGACACATTGAGATTTACGCAATCTAACCCAAAAAACCTCTATCATGGATAATATTGATCGTGAAAGCCTACGTGTCACACAGAAGGGAAAGGGTTGAGTGCGGGCCATGAACAGAGAGGCTCTCAGCAGCGTGAATGGTTTGAAGAAGGAAATCTTAGACTATCGACGCAGCAGCAGAAGGCAGTGACCCCATTCCCAGTGAGCGAATGTTGATGAAAAGTTTTGACAAAAGGTCTTGCTCGCTTGAGTGAATATCACAGAATGGAGGCAATTATTTTGTTTACATTTCCACAACCAGCAGACAATGGCCTGAAGTAGCAAAGTAAACTTTGTTCAGCATTTCCTGCTTCTGGTGCTGTTGCGTTAATGCTGATGATGACAAATAACGAAGTGTCTGTGCTTACCCTGAATTGCTGAGGGTGCCAATGCTGTTGGATCTGGTCAGCCTGTGGCCAGCGTGATGCTGTGTTAGATCTGAGAGGACGAAACAAGTGGAAAGACGTCATGAAAACCGCACACTGCCATTGTTAATACCAGTCGTGAAGGTCAAGTATTGAGTCAGTCTTGGTGGATAGGGGTTCAGTAAGAGATGAGGAATTCAGTTCATTCATTCAGTTAGCCACTGTGAGTTTAGTCAGTGAATGAAGATTGAGTATAGCGATGGTTGTGACTCACTCTGGGCCTTTAGGAGGATGGCTCAGGGGTGACTCACCATGTGCCTCTAGGAGGTTAGCTGTGCTCTGTGATAGTCGATGCTGCTGCTTCGCCTCGCGTTCCCCGTGGTAGCCTGCCCACACCGATGCACACGAGCGTATGCGTCACGTTCACATGTGAGTGAATGTTTATTGTGTGTGTACATGTAGATATATGCATGCCATTTTTCAACTTTGGGTCTATGTAGGCTATACATGGGAACTCTGTGTTTGTGCGTGCGTGACAAGTTTGTGCGTGCTCGCGATGTGTGTAATCATGAAATGTGTGTTCCAGCGTGTCGTATGTGATGTATGTGAAAGCATGTTGAGGCTATACGGGAAATCTTTGTCTGTGTACGTGATTGTGATATATTTGTATGCGCGTGTGCGTGTCACATACACGTGGGTGTGCGTGCGTGCGTGATGTACACGTGCGCCGGTCGCACCTCGTAGCTGCACGGAGTCCGAGGCGTTGGAGTTCTTGCGTCTTCTTCGGCTACTCTGCGTGTAGCGGTTGAAGAAGGAGAGAAGCCCTCCCTTCTTACGCTTTGTCTCCCTGCCACGCAACACCACGTCGTACAAAGATGCACGGGGGAGACACGGTGACACGGGAGACACGGGAGAGACACAGGGATGGGAGACACGGTGACACGGGAGACACGGGAAAGACACAGGGATGGGAGACACGGTGACACGGGAGACACGGGAGAGACACAGGGATGGGAGACACGGTGACACGGTAGAGACAGGAGAGACACAGGGATATCGCATGGGAGACACGGTGACACGGGAGACACGGGAAAGACACAGGGATGGGAGACACGGTGACACGGGAGACACGGGAGAGACACAGGGATGGGAGACACGGTGACACGGGAGACACGGGAGAGACACAGGGATGGGAGACACGGTGACACGGTAGACACAGGAGAGACACAGGGATATCGATGGGAGACACGTGACACGGGAGACACGGGAAAGACAGGGATGGGAGACACGGTGACACGGGAGACACGGAGAGACACAGGGATGGGAGACACGGTGACACGGGAGACACGGGAGAGACACAGGGATGGGAGACACGGTGACACGGGAGACACGGGAGAGACACAGGGATATCGACATGGGAGACACAGTGACACGGGAGACACGGGAGAGACCCAGGGATGGGAGACACGGTGACACGGGAGACACGGGAAAGACACAGGGATGGGAGACACGGTGACACGGGAGACACGGGAGAGACACAGGGATATCGACATGAGAGATGCAGTGAAATGGGAGATATGGGAAAGACAGAGGGATACTGACATGGGAGACATGGTTATATGGGAGACAAAAATGCCATTGAAACAGGGAGACACGGGTACATGGGAGACACCTAACTCTATAACTGCCAGAGGTGCTGGTTGAGTAATAATATTGTGATTATTTAACACGTAAGTTATTGCCACTGATGTTACGATGCAGGATGGGATTTGGGTTAGATCTTGCAAGTATGAAGCCAAATGGCGTCCCATACCCTCCTTAATTCGCATAGCGCCTTGACTAAGGTGCTGAACAGTTAATTAACTATTTGTACGGCAGAATAGTGTGATGAGATACGTTGAGAAGGATGGTAGTACATATGGTGATGCGTGAAATAAACGATGATGAAAGTGATGAGTGGTGAATGTTGAGTGAGCGTGATGGATGGGTATGGAAGTTGGGAAGAGGGATGGAGTTAATGATGGGGAAGGGAGGGGGAAGGGGATTTTGGGTAAGCAAGGGGAAATAAGCGAGTTTTAAGGAACGTTTATTCCAGCCAATCAAACCAAGTTGTCACACGAACAAAACATGCCAACTCACGTTGTCTTCAGCAGACCGGTCTGTTGAAAGACAATTCTCAGAGCTGGAATACAGTCGAATTGTGTAAAATTCAACTATATACGATACTGATAATTGTTTTTTTACCCTTTTATCTGGCAACAAAACTGACACCTTTTTTACGAGGAGTATGTTTACATAGACCACAATACTTGCAGTCATAATACAAACAAAAAACATAACTCTGTCCTTGAAGTTGAAAAGGGTAAAAAACCAATTATCATATTTTTCTACTGGCAAATGAGGTTCCAATGGTATATACGATACGATTCTGTGCAGTCATTGGTAACCGGCCTCAGACCATAATAAACTCGTTAACTGGAACCCCAGTTCATTCCCAGGCCACCTCTGCCGCCACCGTGAGGCCCTTCCTGAAGCTCAGACTCGCTTACTTGTCGAGCTGGTAGTCATCACCGACACACACCATTCTCGAGCCCACCGAGTCCGCCCGCGGATGGATATTAAGGCGATGGAGATGGTGGTGGTCATTCTCTGCTTGGTCCTGCTGCGGACGATGATCCTGATGCTGCTGTTCCTGCTCTTGGCTTTCCTGGTGGTGGTGCTGGTGGTGCTGGTGGTGCTGCTGGTGGTGGTGGAGCTTGCGCCTGAGTGTTGGCGGAGTCCGCAGGTCCTCGGGGAGGGCTCCGTGGGAGCGTGACGCCGCTCGCTGCGCTTCCTCCAGCGACACGAGGCGCAGGGCGGAACGCGACGCCACCTCTCCCTCCAACGGAGGAGGCAGCGCGGTCTGGAGCGACGTTACCCACACAAATAGGACGCCATTCGCATCGGCGCTCATGATGACCATGCCGGGGCACTGGGACATGACCTCGAAGGCCCTGAGATGAACTCCCAAAACTGTCTCCACCATCCCCAGGGTTCATTGTGGCCATCTGGGGAAGCGTGGCGCTGAACAGGTGGGTGTGACTTGGGATCATCATTCTCTCGACCCACATTTTCTCCAGCCAGTGGTCCATGTAGCCGATGTAGGTGACACACAAAGAACCCCCTTACAGCTTAAACAGACTCTTCGTGCAAGTGCTGCTAGCAAGCACCTTTGAAGCCTGGCACAGCACACGAAGGGGTGGGTGGCCTACACCATGCCTGGACGCATTTGTCTCCCTAGTGGCGATGTTTGGACATGGCACCAGGTACTCATTTGAGGCTGAGTCGACCTAGAGGACGCCCAGGACCAGTTCAGATAATCGTCACTATTATTGGTCGTGAGTGGGAATCGAACTCAGGTTCCTGGGTTCATAGCGCATCCCGTTAACCGCTTGCACCACCGCTCTCCACACACACACAAACACACCAACTCTCCACACACATTAACAAATACCTCTTCAGCTGCAGAGCTGTTCTGGGTGGAAAGTCCATCTGGAAAACAATGGCGGACACTCTTCTCATTATTGTCATCATCGTGGGAATGCGGCTACACAGATGTGGCATGGTGCTTGGTAGTTGGTGCCAGGAGTACTAAGTTATTCACGATTTTATTTCTCCCCTCCCCCCTCCGGCCCCACCAGATTCAATGGAATTGTCAGGATTTTGGGGCCATGATTCAAAACTGGAATAGATTATTCACTTTTATTTTGTCGTACTATACAGTTGATGGATATATTTTTTAATATCTTGCATACATCCTTGCTTTCATACCGCTTTGTTCCATTAGCCGGACTATAACAACCAAAGTCTAAGTGATTTCCTGCTCTCATGAGCCTTGTGACCCCCACCCCCACGCGGGGGAATTGTGTCTCCCACCACCCCCCACCACCCCCCACCACCCCCCACCACCCCCACCACCCCCACCACCCCCCACCACCCCCCACCACCCCCCACCACCCCCCACCACCCCCCACCACGTGGCCGGCTCTTTATCTTATATAGATTTAAAAAGCACCTTGTTCCAAGGCGCTTTACACCAATTGTACATCCGACGATAGTAGTTGAAATAAAGAGTGGGGTTATTAAGAGTGGTGGTGTAGTTATGGTGGCACGAGGAGAGGTGGGAGTGGTTGAGGATGGATTGGGGTAGTGATAGGGGTTGCGGTAGACTTGGTCGTAGCTGGGGGCGGGGAGCTATCGGTAGCAGGATGGAGCGAGGGAGACGAGATGGAGGTTGTTTTAAGGGAGGAACGTAAGCAAGTTGGTGAAGGTGATTGTTTCATGTGCAGCAGTGGAGGGGAGCAAGAAGGGAAAATGAATGCAAGCGAGACTGGGCGCTAGGGCAAGGGGATTACAGAGAGGGACAGAATAGATTGGGAGCGTAGAGGATGCACTGGGAGAGAGGAGCACAATATGAGAGATGCAAGATATGGTGGGGCAAGACCGTGGAGGGATTTATAGACTGGAGTGTGAAATTTAAACAGACAGCGATAGGAGACTGGGAGCCAGTGGAGTTGGGAAAGTAGAGAAGAAGTGTGGGAATTGTGGGGGAGGTTAAGAATGATCTGGGTTGAGGCATTTTGTATATGTTGGAGAGGAGCAAAGGGGTAAGTAGGAAGGCTGAGACAAAGAATCAAGGGGAGGGAAAATGAGGGAGTGAATCAGCAGCAGATAGTCAGATGAGGGGATGGATTGTACGAGGGAGGAGCTGAAGATGACTCAAAGGTTGCGAGCAGAGGAGACAGGAGTGAGGGAGAAGAGAGGGAATGAGAGGACAGGGTGGAGGGGAATGGGGAGAAGGGAAGGAAATCAATTCAGTTGTGGAAGGGTTGATGGAAAGGTAGTGGCGTGACATCGAGGATTGGACAGTGAGTCTGAAATGCGAGAGGCAAGGTCAGGGTCAAAGGAGGAAAAGGAAAAGAAAATCTGGGTGTCGTCGGCAAAGAAATGATGGGGAAAGTGAGGTGAGATAAAAATGGTTCTAGGACAGACCATGGAGTGGCTGAAAGAAAGCAAGGAAGTGCATGAAGAGAGATAAGACTGGAGCCAGGAAAGGGGTGTGCTGGAGATACTGAAACTGGAGAGGGTGCAAAGAAGTGTAGGGAAGACTGAGGAAAGATCCAGAAGAATGAGGATTGAGGAGAGGTCAGAACAAGAATTGGCAGAGTTTGTTTTGATGATTCCATACAGCGAGGAGGGCAGTGTCAGTGGAATGGAAGGGGCGGAATCCAGATTGGAACTGAGGGTAAATGATAATATAATTAGATGAGATATAGCGAGCAAGGCGGGAGTGGACAAGACGTTCAAGAACCTTCGAGAAGTAATGGAGGACAGAGATTGGCCGGTAATTTGCAGGACTAAAAATGTCAATGGGGTGTCTTTTTAAATCCTTTATATTAAGTTCGCATGCTTGCTTGCTTGCTTGCGTGCTTGCTTGCTTACGACCGTGCAAATCTTTCGGTCGTTTTTTAACCCACTTCCTGTGATCCAATCGAGCTGACATTTTCCACACAGACTCGTTGTGCCAGACAATTAATGTTCGTGAAAAAAAATTCCCAAAATTTTACACTTTTTAGGCAAAAAATTAATATTTTACATATATTCAAAAGAACTCATTCTTGGCTTTGGCTGAACATCACAGTATAAGAGCCCAGAGCGTAACTCCTCCACAGGCCGTGGCGGAGTAGCGCAGTTGGTAGCGCCCTCGCTTCCCATGCCAAAGGTCGCGGGATCGATCCCCGCGTCCTCCACAGGCGAATATATTTTTAAATCCTTTATATTAAGTTTGCTGCCACGCATATTAAGGATTTATAGTGAAAAACTTTGTTTTTACGTGACACTTTTATTTACAAGGTGGATTATGACAGCCGACTTGGAGGTGAGAGGAAAAACACCAGAAGTGAGGGAGGAGTTTAAGAGGGAGACTAGGTATGGGAGGGTAAGAGTGAAAATCGGAGGTAAAAGGGATGGTGGAGGGATTGTATCTCTTGTGTCTTCACAACCCCCTCCCCCACCCCCATGTTTGTCTCTCACCCCCCCTCCCACCCCCATGTTTGTCTCCCCCCCCCACCCCCATGTTTGTCTCCCACCACTGTGCGGCCGAGAGGCGCTGGGCTGGAAGACGCTGCAGAAGAGGCGTTGCCGGTGGCTGAGCAGCGTCTCCACGACCACGGACTGAACCCGCACCTCCAGGAAAGCGGCACCCCCAACCGGTGCCCCCTCCGTGCCACGTGAGCTGTCCAAGCAACCACAATCATCGCCACCACGACCACCGAGCATCATCACCCAACTTCACGGTCCATCACCATCACCCATACATTAGATCCGCAGTCCAACATCATTACCCAGCATTACCCAACAACGCCAACTAGCTCCGTCACCTATTATCATCATTATCATGAAAAAGCATCATCATCCAGCATTATCACTCACCACCACCACCACCGATCCAAGACCCACCACCACCCATTGCCCACCATTGGTGTCCTTATAGCAATGGTGGTGATTTTAATGGTGGTGTTGATTTTGCGGTGATGTTGATGGTTGTGATGCTGATTGGTAGTGATGGGGGCGATGTTGATGGTGGTGTTGGCGTTGATGGCATCAGTGGCGTTGTTGGTGGTGGTGTCGATGGCGCGACGTTGGTGGCATCAGTGGCGTTGGTGGTGGTGTCGATGGCGCGACATTGGTGGCATCAGTGGCGTTGGTGGTGGTGTCGATGGAGCGACGTTGGTGGCATCAGTGGCGTTGGTGGTGGTGTCGATGGCGCGACGTTGGTGGCATCAGTAGCGTTGGTGGTGTTGTCGATGGAGCGACGTTGGTGGCATCAGTGGCGTTGTTGGTGTTGTCGATGGAGCGACGTTGGTGGCATCAGTGACGTTGTTGGTGGTGTCGATGGCGCGACGTTGGTGGCATCAGTGGCGTTGTTGGTGGTGGTGTCGATGGCGCGACGTTGGTGGCATCAGTGGCGTTAGTGGTGGTGTTGATGGCGCGACGTTGGTGGCATCAGTGGCGTTGGTGGTGGTGTCGATGGAGTGACGTTGGTGGCATCATTGGCGTTGGTGGTGGTGTCGATGGAGCGATGTTGGTGGCATCAGTGGCGTTGGTGGTGGTGTTGATGGCGCGACGTTAGTGGCATCAGTGGCGTTGTTGGTGTTGTCGATGGAGCGACGTTGGTGGCATCAGTGGCGTTGTTGGTGTTGTCGATGGAGCGACGTTGGTGGCATCAGTGACGTTGTTGGTGGTGTCGATGGCGCGACGTTGGTGGCATCAGTGGCGTTGGTAGTGGTGTCGATGGAGCGACGTTGGTGGCATCAGTGGCGTTGTTGGTGGTGTTGATGGAGCGATGTTGGTGGCATCAGTGGCGTTGGTGGTGGTGTCGATGGAGCGACGTTGGTGGCATCAGTGGCGTTGGTGGTGGTGTCGATGGAGCGACGTTGGTGGCATCAGTGGCGTTGGTGGTGGTGTCGATGGAGCGACGTTGGTGGCATCAGTGGCGTTGGTGGTGGTGTCGATGGAGCGACGTTGGTGGCATCAGTGGCGTTGTTGGTGGTGTTGATGGAGCGATGTTGGTGGGATCAGTGGCGTTGGTAGTGGTGTCGATGGAGCGACGTTGGTGGCATCAGTGGCGTTGTTGGTGGTGTCGATGGAGCGATGTTGGTGGCATCAGTGGCGTTGTTGGTGGTGTCGATGGAGCGATGTTGGTGGGATCAGTGGCGTTGGTGGTGTTGTCGATGGAGCGATGTTGGTGGGATCAGTGGCGTTGGTGGTGGTGTCGATGGCGCGATGTTGGTGGCATCAGTGGCGTTGTTGGTGGTGTCGATGGAGCGATGTTGGTGGGATCAGTGGCGTTGGTGGTGTTGTCGATGGAGCGATGTTGGTGGGATCAGTGGCGTTGGTGGTGGTGTTGATGGAGCGATGTTGGTGGCATCAGTGGCGTTGGTGGTGTTGTCGATGGAGCGACGTTGGTGGCATCAGTGGCGTTGGTGGTGGTGTCGATGGAGCGACGTTGGTGGCATCAGTGGCGTTGGTGGTGGTGTCGATGGAGCGACGTTGGTGGCATCAGTGGCATTGGTGGTGGTTTTGATGGAGCGACGTTGGTGGCATCAGTGGCGTTGGTGGTGGTGTTGATGGCGCGACGTTGGTGGCATCAGTGGCGTTGGTGGTGGTGTCGATGGAGCGATGTTGGTGGGATCAGTGGCGTTGTTGGTGTTGTCGATGGAGCGACGTTGGTGGCATCAGTGGCGTTGGTGGTGGTGTCGATGGAGCGACGTTGGTGGCATCAGTGGCGTTGGTGGTGGTGTTGATGGCGCGACGTTGGTGGCATCAGTGGCGTTGGTGGTGGTGTCGATGGAGCGACGTTGGTGGGATCAGTGGCGTTGGTGGTGGTGTTGATGGCGCGACGTTGGTGGCATCAGTGACGTTGGTGGTGGTGTTGATGGCGCGACGTTGGTGGCATCAGTGGCGTTGGTGGTGGTGTTGATGGAGCGACGTTGGTGGCATCAGTGGCGTTGGTGGTGGTGTCGATGGAGCGACGTTGGTGGCATCAGTGGCGTTGGTGGTGGTGTTGATGGCGCGACGTTGGTGGCATCAGTGGCGTTGGTGGTGGTGTCGATGGAGCGACGTTGGTGGCATCAGTGGCGTTGGTGGTGGTGTTGATGGCGCGACGTTGGTGGCATCAGTGGCGTTGGTGGTGGTGTTGATGGCGCGACGTTGGTGGCATCAGTGACGTTGGTGGTGGTGTTGATGGCGCGACGTTGGTGGCATCAGTGGCGTTGTTGGTGGTGTTGATGGAGCGATGTTGGTGGGATCAGTGGCGTTGGTGGTGGTGTTGATGGCGCGACGTTGGTGGCATCAGTGACGTTGTGGTGGTGTTGATGGCGCGACGTTGGTGGCATCAGTGGCGTTGGTGGTGGTGTTGATGGCGCGACGTTGGTGGCATCAGTGACGTTGGTGGTGGTGTTGATGGCGCGATGTTGGTGGCATCAGTGGCGTTGGTGGTGGTGTCGATGGAGCGACGTTGGTGGCATCAGTGGCGTTGGTGGTGGTGGTGTCGATGGCGCGACGTTGGTGACATCAGTGGCGTTGGTGGTGGTGTCGATGGCACGACGTTGGTGGCATCAGTGGCGTTGGTGGTGGTGTTGATGGAGCGACGTTGGTGGCATCAGTGACGTTGTTGGTGGTGTTGATGGCGCGACATTGGTGGCATCAGTGACGTTGGTGGTGGTGTTGATGGCGCGACGTTGGTGGCATCAGTGGCGTTGTTGGTGGTGTTGATGGCGCGACGTTGGTGGCATCAGTGGCGTTGGTGGTGGTGTTGATGGCGCGACGTTGGTGGCATCAGTGGCGTTGGTGGTGGTGTTGATGGCGCGACGTTGGTGGCATCAGTGACGTTGGTGGTGGTGTTGATGGCGCGACGTTGGTGGCATCAGTGGCGTTGGTGGTGGTGGTGTCGATGGAGCGACGTTGGTGGCATCAGTGGCGTTCGTGGTGGTGTTGATGGAGCGACGTTGGTGGCATCAGTGGCGTTGGTGGTGGTGTTGATGGCGCGACGTTGGTGGCATCAGTGGCGTTGGTGGTGGTGTCGATGGCGCGACTTTGGTGGCATCAGTGACGTTGGTGGTGGTGTCGATGGAGCGACGTTGGTGGCATCAGTGACGTTGGTGGTGGTGTCGATGGCGCGACTTTGGTGGCATCAGTGGCGTTGGTGGTGGTGTCGATGGAGCGACGTTGGTGGCATCAGTGACGTTGGTGGTGGTGTCGATGGCGCGACTTTGGTGGCATCAGTGGCGTTGGTGGTGGTGTCGATGGAGCGACGTTGGTGGCATCAGTGGCGTTGGTGGTGGTGTCGATGGCGCGACGTTGGTGGCATCAGTGGCGTTGGTGGTGGTGTCGATGGAGCGACGTTGGTGGCATCAGTGGCGTTGGTGGTGGTGTCGATGGAGCGACGATGGTGGGATCAGTGACGTTGGTGGTGGTGTCGATGGTGCGACGTTAGTGGCATCAGTGGCGTTGGTGGTGGTGTCGATGGAGCGACGTTGGTGGCATCAGTGGCGTTGGTGGTGGTGTCGATGGAGCGATGTTGGTGGTGGTGTCGATGGCGTGACGTTGTGCTCACCGCAGGAGGTTGGGGGCCCACACGATGGCAAGGTTCTGCGCGTGCATGTTGGTCTGTGCGCTGTGAGACGCCATGTGACTCAGGTGGCTGATGAGGAACTCCAGCGTGCTATCACAGCAACAGCAGCAACAACAGCAGCAGCAACAGCATAAAATCGATCAATGTTTATGTAGAGGCCTGTATCAATCCACTGTTGGATGAGCCCCCCCCCTCCCCCCGCCCATTGCCGGATGACACACCGCCCCCCCCGCCACCCACCATCACGCCGTGAGGGTCATGAGAATTGGTTGATCATACTCCACCGCGTTCGTCAGAGTGGCTTAGATTTTGGAGCACAGTACATCTACACCATTGGAACCTCATTTTCCAGAAGAAAAAATATGATAATTGTTTTTTTTACCCTTTTATCTGGCAACAAAACTGACACAGTTTTTACAAGGAGTCATGTTTGCATAGAACACAATACCTGCAGTCGTAATGCAAACAAAAAACATAACTCTGATAATGACGGTGGTGTTGGCGTTGATGGCATCAGTGGCGTTGTTGGTGGTGGTGTCGATGGCGCGACGTTGGTGGGATCAGTGGCGTTGGTGGTGGTGTTGATGGCGCGACGTTGGTGGCATCAGTGGCGTTGGTGGTGGTGTCGATGGAGCGATGTTGGTGGGATCAGTGGCGTTGGTGGTGGTGTTGATGGCGCGACGTTAGTGGCATCAGTGGCGTTGTTGGTGGTGTCGATGGAGCGACGTTGGTGGCATCAGTGGCGTTGGTGGTGGTCCTTGAAGTTGATTGGTCCACACCCGAGACAACTTTCCTTAGAGCCTAGTCTCACGTGGTGTTGGACCAGATGACGCCAAAAAGGCGCACGTAAAAAAGGGTAAAAATAAAAGGGTAAAAAAACCAATTATCACAGTACATCTGTCTATCTGGTTTCATCTCCCCCTCACTCCGTTTGCCCCCCTCTCACCCCCATCATTTAATAACACAGCATGGCCATCGTAACTAGTGCATGATTGTGCTGATGGCGATGGTGATGATTGTGCTGATGGCGATGGTGATGATGGTGATGATTGTGCTGATGGCGATGGTGACGATGGTGATGATTGTGCTGATGGCGATGGTGACGATGGTGATGATTGTGCTGATGGCGATGGTGATGATGGTGATGATTGTGCTGATGGTGATGGTGATGATGGTGATGATTGTGCTGATGGTGATGGTGATGATGGTGATGATTGTGCTGATGGCGATGGTGACGATGGTGATGGTTGTGCTGATGGCGATGGTGATGATTGTGCTGATGGCGATGGTGTTTACTTGTAGTGAGGTAGTGATAGCTGGTGGATGGCGTGATGATGGTGATGATTGTGCTGATGGCGATGGTGATGATGGTGATGATTGTGCTGATGGCGATGGTGACAATGGTGATGATTGTGCTGATGGCGATGGTGACGATGGTGATGATTGTGCTGATGGCGATGGTGATGATGGTGATGATTGTGCTGATGGCGATGGTGATGATGGTGATGATTGTGCTGATGGTGATGGTGATGATGGTGATGATTGTGCTGATGGCGATGGTGACGATGGTGATGGTTGTGCTGATGGCGATGGTGATGATGGTGATGATTGTGCTGATGGCGATGGTGATGATGGTTGTGCTGATAGCGATGGTGACGATGGTGATGGTTGTGCTGATGGCGATGATGATGATGGTGATGATTGTGCTGATGGCGATGGTGACGATGGTGATGATTGTGCTGATGGCGATGGTGACGATGGTGATGGTTGTGCTGATGGCGATGGTGATGATGGTGATGATTGTGCTGATGGTGATGGTGATGATGGTGATGGTTGTGCTGATGGTGATGGTGATGATGGTGATGATTGTGCTGATGGTGATGGTGACGATGGTGATGGTTGTGCTGATGGCGATGGTGATGATGGTGATGATTGTGCTGATGGCGATGGTGATGATGGTTGTGCTGATGGCGATGGTGACGATGGTGATGGTTGTGCTGATGGCGATGATGATGATGGTGATGATTGTGCTGATGGCGATGGTGACGATGGTGATGATTGTGCTGATGGCGATGGTGACGATGGTGATGGTTGTGCTGATGGCGATGGTGATGATGGTGATGATTGTGCTGATGGTGATGATGGTGATGGTTGTGCTGATGGTGATGGTGATGATGGTGATGATTGTGCTGATGGTGATGGTGACGATGGTGATGATTGTGCTGATGGTGATGGTGACGATGGTGATGGTTGTGCTGATGGCGATGGTGATGATGGTGATGATTGTGCTGATGGCGATGGTGATGATGGTGATTATTGTGCTGATGGTGATGGTGATGATGGTGATGGTTGTGCTGATGGCGATGGTGATGATGGTGATGATTGTGCTGATGGCGATGGTGACGATGGTGATGATTGTGCTGATGGTGATGGTGACGATGGTGATGGTTGTGCTGATGGCGATGGTGATGATGGTGATGATTGTGCTGATGGTGATGGTGACGATGGTGATGGTTGTGCTGATGGCGATGGTGATGATGGTGATGATTGTGCTGATGGTGATGGTGATGATGGTGATGGTTGTGCTGATGGCGATGGTGATGATGGTGATGATTGTGCTGATGGCGATGGTGACGATGGTGATGATTGTGCTGATGGTGATGGTGACGATGGTGATGGTTGTGCTGATGGCGATGGTGATGATGGTGATGATTGTGCTGATGGTGATGGTGATGATGGTGATGGTTGTGCTGATGGTGATGGTGATGATGGTGATGATTGTGCTGATGGTGATGGTGATGATGGTGATGGTTGTGCTGATGGCGATGGTGATGATGGTGATGGTTGTGCTGATGGCGATGGTGACGATGGTGATGATTGTGCTGATGGTGATGGTGATGATGGTGATGGTTGTGCTGATGGCGATGGTGATGATGGTGATGGTTGTGCTGATGGCGATGGTGACGATGGTGATGATTGTGCTGATGGCGATGGTGATGATGGTGATGATTGTGCTGATGGCGATGGTGATGATGGTGATGATTGTGCTGATGGCGATGGTGACGATGGTGATGATTGTGCTGATGGCGATGGTGATGATGGTGCTGATTGTGCTGATGGCGATGGTGATGATGGTGATGATTGTGCTGATGGCGATGGTGACGATGGTGATGATTGTGCTGATGGCGATGGTGACGATGGTGATGATGATGGTGACGATGGTGACGATGGTGATGATGGTGATGATTGTGCTGATGGCGATGGTGACGATGGTGATGATTGTGCTGATGGCGATGGTGATGATTGTGATGATTGTGCTGATGGTGATGGTGATGATGGTAATGATTGTGCTGATGGCGATGGTGATGATGGTGATGGTTGTGCTGATGGCGATGGTGATGATGGTGATGATTGTGCTGATGGCGATGATGGTGATGATGGTGATGATTGTGCTGATGGTGATGATGGTGATGATGGTGATGATTGTGCTGATGGCGATGGTGATGATGGTGATGATTGTGCTGATGGCGATGGTGATGATGGTGATGATTGTGCTGATGGCGATGGTGATGATGGTGATGATTGTGCTGATGGCGATGGTGATGATGGTGATGATTGTGCTGATGGTGATGGTGATGATGGTGATGATTGTGCTGATGGTGATGGTGATGATGGTGATGATTGTGCTGATGGCGATGGTGATGATGGTGATGGTTGTGCTGATGGCGATGGTGATGATGGTGATGATTGTGCTGATGGTGATGATGGTGATGATTGTGCTGATGGCGATGGTGATGATGGTGATGATTGTGCTGATGGTGATGATGGTGATGATTGTGCTGATGGTGATGATGGTGATGATTGTGCTGATGGCGATGGTGATGATGGTGATGATTGTGCTGATGGCGATGGTGATGATGGTGATGATTGTGCTGATGGTGATGGTGATGATGGTGATGATTGTGCTGATGGTGATGGTGACGATGGTGATGATGGTGATGATTGTGCTGATGGTGACGATGGTGATGATGATGATGGTTGTGCTGATGGTGATGATGGTGATGATTGTGCTGATGGCGATGGTGATGATGGTGATGATTGTGCTGATGGTGATGGTGACGATGATAATGATTGTGCTGATGGTGATGATGGTGATGATTGTGCTGATGACGATGGTGATGATGGTGATGGTTGTGCTGATGGTGATGGTGACGATGGTGATGATGGTGATGATTGTGCTGATGGCGATGGTGACGATGGTGATGATTGTGCTGATGGTGATGATGGTGATGATTGTGCTGATGGTGATGGTGACGATGGTGATGATGGTGATGATTGTGCTGATGGCGATGGTGACGATGGTGATGATTGTGATGATTGTGATGATGGCGATGGTGACGATGGTGATGATTGTGCTGATGGTGATGGTGACGATGGTGATGATGGTGATGATTGTGCTGATGGCGATGGTGATGATGGTGATGATTGTGCTGATGGCGATGGTGATGATGGTGATGGTTGTGCTGATGGCGATGGTGATGATGGTGATGATTATGCTGATGGTGATGGTGACGATGGTGATGATTGTGCTGATGGCGATGGTGATGATGGTGATGATTATGCTGATGGTGATGGTGACGATGGTGATGATTGTGCTGATGGCGATGGTGATGATGGTGATGATTATGCTGATGGCGATGGTGATGATGGTGATGATTATGCTGATGGTGATGGTGACGATGGTGATGATTGTGCTGATGGCGATGGTGATGATGGTGATGATTGTGCTGATGGCGATGGTGATGATGGTGATGATTGTGATGATGGCTATGGTGACGATGGTGATGATTGTGCTGATGGTGATGATGGTGATGATGGTGATGATTATGCTGATGGCGATGGTGACGATGGTGATGATGGTGATGATGGTGATGATTGTGCTGATGGCGATGGTGACGATGGTGATGATTGTGCTGATGGCGATGGTGACGATGGTGATGATTGTGCTGATGGTGATGGTGATCATGGTGATGATTGTGCTGATGGCGATGGTGACGATGGTGATGATTGTGCTGATGGCGATGGTGATGATGGTGATGATTGTGCTGATGGCGATGGTGATGATGGTGATGATTGTGCTGATGGCGATGGTGACGATGATGATGATTGTGCTGATGGCGATGGTGACGATGATGATGGTGATGGTGACGATGGTGATGATGGTGATGGTGACGATGGTGATGATGGTGATGATTGTGCTGATGGCGATGGTGATGATGGTGATGATTGTGCTGATGGCGATGGTGACGATGGTGATGATTGTGCTGATGGCGATGTTGACGATGGTGATGATTGTGCTGATGGCGATGGTGATGATGGTGATGATTGTGCTGATGGCGATGGTGATGATGGTGATGATTATGCTGATGGCGATGGTGACGATGGTGATGATTGTGCTGATGGCGATGGTGATGATGGTGATGATTGTGCTGATGGCGATGGTGATGATGGTGATGATTGTGCTGATGGCGATGGTGATGATGGTGATGATTGTGCTGATGGCGATGGTGATGATGGTGATGATTGTGCTGATGGCGATGGTGACGATGGTGATGATTGTGCTGATGGCGATGGTGATGATGGTGATGATTGTGCTGATGGCGATGGTGATGATGGTGATGATTGTGCTGATGGCGATGGTGATGATGGTGATGGTGATTACTTGTAGTGAGGTAGCGGTAGCTGGTGGATGGCGTGATGGATCTTCTGGAGCCTCTCCTCAACTGAGGGAGCACGAACAGCCTCCTGGGACCAGGGCACACACAGTCGGTTATTACATCGTTCATCTATTTTGACCAAATAAATACATCGGTTCGTCTGAAGTCACCCAAGGCAGTATTGATTGCTGCTGATGATCATGTACCCGTGTGGGTGATTGGCAAAGATGAGGACATACGAAAGTGAGAGGACACTGGATTTTTGGCACTTAGAGTTTGGTTTTTCAAACTCCATTGATTGCAGTCACATTTATTTTAAATAGAGTCACATGGAACTAAAAACAAAAGTGTTGAGCTTGGACAAGTGCAGGAAGTTTATAGCATGGATGGCTGCTGGAAAGGAGTTTGCAACCTATGAAATTGAACGTTTCACTTAAATAATCCCTTGAGATGGAACATCTCATTTTCAATTATGACAATGGGGGCAGAGATTCTGCAGGGGTGATGAACATGACAACGAAAGCCCAGGATCGATTTCAACTCCGAGGATTCACACACTCGGTGCGATGCCAGAATTTAGGACGGGCACCTAACAGTGGACTCCTTTACCGACGGGGAGCACTTCTGCTTTCGCAACACGTTTCTGGAGGAAGTTACAACGAATCCGGCATGAGACGCGAAGGTGGACAGGGAGATTGCGTTCCTGGAGGCAATGGCGATGTTCAGCTGGGTCTCCTGCCGCAGCACAGATATTAACAATGGAAAAGATTTTTCCAGGAGATGCATTACGAAGATCAGGGGGCGAGAGTGGAGCCTTGTGGGGGGCACCATAGCTAGCACAGGGGCTTCTGGGAAGAAGATGGTCCTTGTGCAAAATCGTAGAACAAGCAGTTTGAAAAATGAAGGCAGAAGTTGGAGAGAAGTGTACTGGAGATGCCCACATGGTTATACGGGATGGAAAGGTCTTTGGTGTCAAAATCAGCAGAGAGATCTCGGACGACGAGGAGTGAGAGGGATCCACGATCTGGAGGGAGAGGAAGGTCACTCACAGGAGGTAGGGTCGGTACAATTGTCCTCGGAGAACCCAAATTGTGCTGGATCCCCGAGACCAAGGGGAAGAGGTGATGGAGAGGGGAAGAGGTGATGGAGAGGGGAAGAGGTGATCGAGAGGTAAACCTCGGGCCTTTTTCAAGAAAATGAAGATTTGAGATCGGATGGAAGTTGGCAGGGGTCTTCTAGAAACTGCAGAGGTCACGTGACCCAGATAACAAGCAATACATCTGAAGACGCGTGATGCGATGAAGACATGCGCTGTTGCATACCAGACGTTTACTACTACTATGGGCACACACGCGCACATACGTACATCGAAGAGGTGGAAGAGGTGGTAGGTGAGCAGGGGCTCGGGGAGGTCGCGGAAGAACTGCTTACAGAGGGAGCTCACGCAGTGCACATCGCGCATGTACACGCTCCGGGTCAGGTCGGGCACGCGGCCCGCATCAAACTCCTCCCTGCATCACCACCGCCGCCATGATCAACATAAACACACTGCTCAACCACACGTGAGACAAGGACAATTAAGCAGGCTTTCTCTGTCGTAGGCCAACTCAGTGTCAATGACAATGCATACATGATCAAAACATGTTTTACCACATGCAATAGGTGTATATTTGGCGTGGAAACATCTTAACACTTGCTGTATCCTATGTGAACCTCATTTGCCAGTAAAAATATGATAATTGGTTTTTTTACCCTTCTATCTGCCAACAAAACTGACACCTTTTTTTTTACAAGGAGTCATGTTTGCAGAGACCGCAATACCTGCAGTCATAATACAAACAAAAGACATAACTCTGATAATGTGCATTGTCCTTGAAGTTGATTGGTCCACACCCGAGACAGCTTTCCTTAGAGCCTAGTCTCACATGGGTTGGACCAGATGACGCCAAAAGGCGTTATGTCTTTTGTTTGTATTATGACTGCAGGTATTGCGGTCTATGCAAACATGACTCCTTGTAAAAAAAGTTGTCAGTTTTGTTGCCAGATAGAAGGGTAAAAAAACCAATTAACACTTGCTGTATCGTTGCCAGGAAAGGGTAAGACCTTTTATTTTTTCATCATCTTGATACCGGCAAAACGGGTCCTCGTTCACCATTCTGCTGCTAGCCGAGCTTGCTGTAGCCTCGCAGCTCCATCCCCTAGCTGAGCGCACTGCTATTCTGTCATCCCACCATTTTCTCAACTCACTCAAACGAGTCCTGAGGTCTCACTCGCCCCAAAAGCTTTCATTCCTCAAGGACCACCGCTCCTCTTTGTGTGCAGGTTCTTCACGGACTTCGATCCTTCCCAGCCCAGCCAATCACCTGCTGTTGCTACCCAGCCTCGACCCTGATGCGATGGGGGCTTCCTCTCAGCGCTGTTCTGTCTGCCCAGAGCCCCCTCCTTAAATAAAGTCATGGAACGTTCATTCCACATGCTCTCCGTTATTATTTAAAGCCATTCCTCTCTGTGGGGCCATTACAATGCTTACTCATTCCTGGTATAAAATTTAAATCATACGCTCAGTTCTGCAAGGCGCGCGGTGGGCCAATTACAGTAATGCATTGCTACAAGCGTTCGCTCTGCAGAACTGGTTTAGCTGCAGGTGTTACACTTTCAATTTTATTGCTCACGCACTCTGATAATAAGCAGCATCACCATGTCCTCCAGTGTCCTTCCCTTTATTAGAAATACATATATCTAAAAGTTCCCTTACACTTGATCATATGAGTAGATTTTCCAGCTTACCCCAAATTCCAGCTTACTCGAGTCCAACTGCAAGGGGGTTGAATATTTATAAATGACATAAACTATTCAGAAAGGTGATTAAGAAATAAATGTTGAACATTTTAGAGGTCGACTAACAACCATGTGAGTGAGAAAAACGGTTAACATAAATGTTTGTTTCATCATGGGACCTCCTTTGCCAGTACCAAAATATACTAATAGGGTTTTCCCCTTTTGTTTCAGGCCATCTGGTCGAACATCATATGAGACTAGGCTCTAAAGAAAGCTGTCTCTGGTGTGGACCAATCCGTTTCAAGGACAATGCACACATTATCAGAGTATTGTTTTTGTTTGCATTTGACTGCAAGTATTGTGGTTAATGTAAGCAGGATTCCTTGCAAAAGGTGTCAGTTTTGTTGCCAGAAAAAAAGGGGGAAAACCCTATTAGTATAAATGTTTGTTTTTACTTCTACCATTGACCACATAGCCACCGCACATACTATCAACCGTATTCCATAAAAATTAACCCGTAAAAACAAAGTTTTTCACTATAAATCCTTTATATGCGTGTTCAATTGGCCACAACCCAGCCCACATTGGTCTTTGAAACGGGCGGCTAGAGTCCTCTCGTCCTCTGGCTTGAGATGGCTGCCACCTATGGGTCAGATGATTGTCTGCCACCATTAAGCAATTGGTAATTAAATATATATATTTTCCTAAAAGGTGTAAAGTTTTGGAAATTTTTTTCTCACGAAAATACATTGTCACGCACAACGAGTTTGTGTGCAAAATGTCAACTCGATTGGATCACGGGAAGTAGGTTAAAAAACGACCGAAAGATTTGCATGGTCGTAAGCAAGCAAGTGAAGTTAATATAAAGGATTAAAAAATGAACCCGTAAAAATAAAGTTTTTCACTATAAATCCTTTATATGCGTGGCATCGGGGCGGCTAGAGTCCTCTCGTCCTCTGGCTTGAGATGGCTGCTACCTATGGGTCAGATGATTGTCTGGCAGCATTAAACAATTGGTAATTCAATATTTAATTTTTTTCCCATAAACAGTGTAAAATTTGGAAAAAAAATTTTCACGAAAATGCATTGTCACGCACAACGAGTCTGTGTGCAAAATGTCAGCTCGATATGATCACGGGAAGTGGGTTAAAAAACGACCGAAAGATTTGCACGGTCCTAAGCAAGCAAGCAAGTGAACTTAATATAAAGGATTTAAAAAGACACCTGAGTATGAAATCGCATCGAGAGCTGCGTTTCGTCGAGGCCCGCCGCAGCTCACCTGAGACGCTTGGTGTTGCTGGCAACGCCCGACAGGCGGTAGATTCCATCCACGAGCCCATGCCTCTCCACAAACGCCGTGCACATGCGGACCACCTGCGGCGCTGTGAGGGGGTCGGAGTAGGGGTCAACTTTGGTTTTGGTGCCCCAAAGGTCATCATGTGCTCGGGGAAAATATCATTATAACAAATGTGAAATTATTCTTTGGTTCTTTCGGTTAAGTCACGTCTAAAGATAAAATAATAAATTAAATAATAGCATATTACGACGTTTCGATTGCAACACAAGCGATCATCATCAGGCATTAAAGAAATAGCAACAAAAATCTAACTAGAAAACTATAGACAGACATACAAGCAGAGAGACATGTGGTAACTGCCAGCAGGCACTTTTTCCACCGTTGGTGTTTTGGGTTGTGGTTGGGTTGTTGGTGTTGTTGGCTGAGTTATTGGTTGTGGTTGGTGTTTGCGTTTGAGTTCTTGTCGGCGTTGGTTGGGCTGTTGGTTGTAAGTGAGATGCTAGATTTGAAGCTTTCGTGACTGCAAGTATTCATATTCTTAGGTTTTCGGTAAAGTCACGTAGGTAAAAATATTAAAATTAATAAAAATAAAATAAAAATCACGACGTTTCGGAGGCAACACAAGCTTCCGTCTTCAGGTGGAACCGTCACAGCACGATTGATGTATCAAGTAAATGAGAGATTCCAAGAGCTACTACCCCATATGTATACAGTATATATACGGGGTAGTATCTCTTGTAATCTCTCATTTAATTGTTTATTTTATTTTACTTATTATTAATTATTTTTTTTACCTACGTGACTTTACCGAAAACCTAAGAATAAGTAAGATGCTGGCCATGCTGCTGTTATTGGTGGTGGTTGAGTTGTTGGTTGTGGTTGGTGTTTGCGTTTGAGTTCTTGTTGGTGTTAGTTGGGCTGTTGGTTGTAAGTAAGATGCTGGCCATGCTGCTGTTATTGGTGGTGGTTGAGTTGTTGGTTGCCGCAGTGTTGTTGTCGTCATCTCACCCTGATCTTCCCCGGACTGCAGCAGGGAGACCAACTCCACCCCGAAGACCCGTGCGGCTGTGTGCCGCCGGGAGAGGCGGGCCTTCATCCCACAGGGCCTTCACGCGACCACCAAAGACAAAGATCCCCTGTGTAGCCTTAGCAGACTAAAGGGACAAGTGCTGTTAGCTAGCACCAATGAAGGCCGGCACGGTACACGAAAGGTCTTTTTCTCCCTAGTGGCGATATTTACACAATCACTTGAGGTTCAGGCGACCCAGGGAGGCCCACAACTGGGTCAGATAATCATTCCCGGTATTGGCGGTGAGCGGTAATTAATTGAACTCGGGTTGCAACACAGCACGTTCACCGCTACACTATCACCACCAACATTAGTATCCCCACTGTTACGACAATCGCAACGTACGGTGCGAAAAAATTTCACCAATATAAACATCACCAACATCATCATCATCTCCGGCACTACCACCATTTCCAAATTTAGCCCAACTATCACATCATCATCACCATCCAAAATATAAAAATGCTATTTTTAAAAAGAAATATCAGGGATCACCGATGTCATAATGATTATCATTATTAACGATGCTATTGTCATTATCGTCAGCATCATCGTTACAAACATCATCGCTATCACCATGACTAACCGTATTGTCATACTCTTTGGTTCTTTCGGTAAAGTCACGTAGGTAGAAAAAGAATAAAACAAAATAAAACAAAAAATAATAAATCACGACATATCTATCGCAACACAAAAAAATAATCCAGCAGTTCCACTGCTGGATTATTTTTTCGTGATATATTATTTTTGTATTTTATTAGATTATTTTTCTACCTACATGACTTTACCGGAAGAACCAAAGAGTATGGATTCCTGCAGTCACGAAAGCTTCACATCATATTGTCATAAATGCAATTATCATGTTTTACTCCATCATCAACGTCAAACATCGTTTTCATCAACATCATCACTATCATCAACAATATCATCATCGATGCAAATAGCGTTGTCTCCAATAACTCCACCAACACCGTCATCAATTCTCAACCCACCACTTGCTGGCCGTCTTGACGCGCCGATACATTTTCCCATTTAGGAGGTCGTCTGAATTAAAAATTAATGGTAATTGCTATCATTTATGGAAACGTTAAAGATGAGCATTTGTCCATTAAGGTCTAAATATGTTCAACATATGCAGTTGTGAATGCACTCTTAGCACATTAAAGCCCTTCACCGGGACTTTGCGATTGGACTCCAGGTACTGCCACTCAGTGATTCATTATTGAGCAGGAGGTTTGTGGAACAAAGCATCTTAGTTTGCTGCTTGTGGACATTAAACACCCCGTTCTGCTTGTGGCTGGCTATGAAAGTACCAGCGTTTGAATCTGGGTTTCAGGCACCACTCATTAAGGTTATTATTTTGTCACCGTACATTTCAACTGTAATAGTGTACATGGAAATGTCACGGACGGTGATTTGTGCTACACCTATAATTTGCTTAATACAAAACAATAGTTGTCCTATATTATTTGAAGAACGACGTTTTTCTGCCTGGCTGGTGCGTGTAGGCCTCGGCAAGGTAAGGTAAATTACCTTTTTTACCGGGTAAAAGGGTAAAGGTCAAGAGTAAAGGTGTCGACATGCCAAGGGGTAAGGTAAAGGGTAGGGTAAAGGTAGCTCAGAAGAATTGCCCGGTAGAGTTAAGGTAGCGCGAATAATTACCCGGTAAATACGGTGCCTTGTTTACCTCTAAAAGTTTCGTGGCGCAGTCCGTGGCCTCTATTTTAAATTGCGATACTTGATGTCGGACCAGATGGAGACGGTCCACGTCCTTGAGGTAGAGGTACTAGCGGACGAGGTCGAGGATGCCAGCAACGGCATTTTTGGGGTCGCTGCGAACAGCAATCGTTCCCATAGGAGCACACGCACCATTGGATGGAGGGTGATCCCCATGTACAGCAAGGGAAGCGGCAGCGCGTGCACTGCCGCAAGTGGTTTTTCACCCACACGAACGCGTCGGGGTGGAAAGTCCACCTCAAGAAGCACAACGCGCTCGCCCCCCAGGCAGCGAGGTCGGGACGTCGGCGTCGGCTGCCTGAAGACTTCCGTCTAACTGGGCCGGAGCGGCGCAGGGTCTTATTGCCTGTCGTTCGTCCGAGGACGATGGCAATGACGGACTTGATCAGGTTGTTGATGAGATCGCCATCGACCAAGACGACTGGGACGAGGAGGTTATGGAGGGCGGTGTCGTCGACAGCCTCAACGCCCGATTCGAGAGTATTCTATATGATAGCATTTATCGTTATAAACCTTTTTCATGTGTTGTACCCCAGTAATTTCCCTGTAATCGGGTAATTTGTATGGGTTAAGGGTAAAAGGTAGGGTAAAGGTAGGCTCGTTGCTTTTGACCTTTTACCTTACCTGCTAAAGGGTAAAAGGTAGGGTAGAGCGATGGTATTGTGGTCAGGTAAAAGGTAGGGTAAAGGTAGTCTTGTTTTTTACTGTTTAACTTTAACCTTACCTTGCCGAGGGCGAGGTGCGTGGGCAGCCAAACACACGGTGTTGACGTCACTCCACTCATCTGTTGTGCATCTTTATATCAGCTACATCGCTGGCGCATTATCAAATTCTATGTACACTGAACTTCTTTTGCACCACACGTAGGCAACCGCGCTAATCGGAGGTGCGGGGGAAGGACAACAAACTAAACACAAAAAGCAGCTGTACAGAAATGGGTTTTCAATCTATATTTAAAAGTCCATATAGCTCCAGTGGCTTCCTAATATCGGAAGGAAGAGCGTTCCAGATGGCTGCAGAAGCGCATCTGAAAGCGCGCCGATGCAGAGAACGTTTTTGTTCGACGGTGAGCCAAACGCCACTGCGAGGTTAAAAACGACAACTGGCTGTGACGCTCCTCGCTTCTTCAACTCGTGCCGCAATCTACTCAGAAGCCGTCCTCTTTGCTTTCAAACACAGTCGTCGCCTTGTTGGTTCAGTCCCTACCTCTGATCTGTGTCGAGAAATGTTCACATCTTAGAAACATGTCCTTGAAGTTGATTGGTCCACACCCGAGACAGCTTTCCTTCGAGCCTAGTCTCATAAGAGTTATGTTCTTTTGTTTGTATTATGACTGCAGGTATTGCGGTCTATGCAAACATGACTCCTTGCAAAAAGGTGTCAGTTTTGTTGCCAGATAGAAGGGTAAAGAACCAATTATCATATTTTTACTGGCAAATGAGGTCCCCATAGTGTAGATGCTTGCCCCGAGCTCTCATACTCTGATGGTGCATTGTCCTTGAGTTGTGCGCCTTTTGGCGTCATCTGGTCCAACCCATATGAGACTAGGCTCGAAGGAAAGCTGTCTCGGGTGTGGACCAATCAACTTCAAGGACAGTGCACATTATCAGAGTTATGTTCTTTTGTTTGTATTATGACTGCAGGTATTGCGGTCTATGCAAACATGACTCCTTGCAAAAAGGTGTCAGTTTTGTTGCCAGATAGAAGGGTAAAGAACCAATTATCATGCTTTAGATTCTTTAGATTACACTGGGTCAACAAACAAAAAAAAAATCATTTTTTCTGGCCTGGACTTTTGCAGCTGTTCTAGACTAATTTCAGGGTGCTGATTCCAAATCTGATCTCATATTTGCTCTATCACATCTCATTTTTATGCTATCGGCATACCCCATTTTCATTGATGTTACCCGAATTTAACTCTCTCACTTATGATTGCAAGTTGTTGCGAGTCCGTGACTGCTTTAGTGTTAAAATATGGTGCTGTATTTTTAGGATAGTGTGTTTATAATATCATTTTATGTAGATATCCACATTTATTTAATATTTTTCTTCTGCAGTTTTTTTATTGAAAATGCAATATTTGATATCTCAAAAACCTGATGTGATAGACAAAAACTGATGCCAAATTTGGAATCAGCACCCCAAAATTACATTAAAACCGTTTGAATACCTTATGCCAGAAAAAGTGTGTTGACAGGTGTTATTTGGCTGCTATAAATTCCCACGTGATAAGCCACTTCGTTGAGCTATCATTTGGGGTCAGGTCGCTTAGAAAAAGAAGCTAAACGCTCAGTGAGCTTTGCCTGGTTAAAATAAAATAGTTTAGTTTTATTTGTATGTTTTAGTGACTTGCTTACCTTCCCTATACTTTGCAGACCTATCGTGTGTTTGTGTATTGTTTGTTGTTGTAATGTTCTGACGCGTCCCTACTGGACATCTGTGAAAAAGAGCTTTATAGATCATCGGATTCCTCCTGCAGTGTAAAAAGTTTTCTGATTCTCATATTTCAACCATAACAACACCACCGAGTACTCTCACCCCACAACACGCTACCATGGAAACACCATGCGGTACTCCTACTCCACAACTCTACTAAAATGTTAACATCCTCCGATACTCTCACTCGCCCACACCATTGTACCGTTACATACTCCCCATCTGCTTCCCCTCAACAAACATGTCCACTACTCCAAGCTTCCAACCTTATTCCCCATATGAACCACCATCGCAAGGCGCCTCACTGGCCCCAAGGCATCAACAATGCCTCACCACAAAGCCTTCCACTGCAGATACAGCGTCCACTTCACGCTCAATTCTCACTGCAAAACATCCACTCGGTGCAAGGTCACATCGCATCCACAATGTCCTACATTAGGGCACTAGTGACATCCTCTGTCTCACCGAGACTTGACACACATTCCCTGAAATGTATTCACTCTTTGACGATGTAATCCTCTGGCTGCCACCTCTAGAAGCTCGCTCCTCTTTCTGGCTGGGTTGGTTGATTGATCCACATCTTCTTGGTTCTTTCGGTAAAGTCACGTAGAAGGGAAATAATAAAATAATAAAAATAAAACATTATCAAATAATTCTCACGACGTTTTGGCCACAACGCAAGCAGCCGTCCTCAGGTGAAGACCAGGTCTGTCGGGGGGACAGCCTTTGAATGAAACACCACCACGCTTGGAGCGTATATTTAAGCTGGGTTGGAAGGGGAAGAGCGCCTTGACAAAATAATCCGCATATCAAGAGGAATTTAGCAAATTTATAGGAAATGCAGATATGTGATTAGTACTACTT